GTCTCACCCTCCTTACACGAACAGCTCCAAGGTGTCGTGACTTGATGGTGTTCCTGATGTCTTTGGAAGCGGCTTGTTCTCCCACCTGGAGAATCAAGCTTTTGGAAGCGACTTGTTCTCCTACCTGGAGAATCAAGTTTCCAGAAGTGGATTGAAACAAAAGAGAAATCGCAACATCGTTCTTCTTTTGATAATCCGAACCAGGTTCTATCGTGCCATGAACACGCATCTTAACCTGCATTCTCATCGACCAAACTGTGTAGTTTGTCGATGATAACATAGGACATTGGATGGATGTACTTCCAAGGTCCTTCGTGCGTGGAGCCCTAGTCACGTCCGCCATCTTGCTCGCGTGTACTCTTGGTCACAAGCACCAGGATCAAAGCTTCAACTTAAGCTTAGATCGAGTCTCCAACCTGAAGAGCTCTGATACCAATTCAAGTTTGGATCAATGCTTCAACATAAGCTCTGATACCAATTCAAATCTCTAGAAACACAAAGGATTATAAGAACAACTTTTCTTATTAGCTTTAGAAACTACTCAAAACTAAAGCTCACAATATGTTTCTCTTAGATCATTTAGATCTACTCTCTTAGATCTTATGGAACACCTCTCCATAGATCTCTATTTATATGCAAGATAATTCCCTTGAACATGTGGGATATGGAAAACACAAACCTAATCTAATAGAAAACTTCCTTTTCCTATTTCTAGATTTCCTTATTGTGTTTATCTCTTAACATATTAAACATCTAATAATATGTTAAGTTTCCACATGTTCAAGGGAATTATCTTGCATATAAATAGAGATCTATGGTTTATTTGGAAATCTCGGAATGAATTCATATTTACAAAGAGAAATGAACATCCAAGTGAAGATATAAAACGTGCTACAGAAGCTAATACCGAATGGTTTAAACATATCCTCAACAGTAATCTCCATAACCGTATTAGTGTCCCAACATATTTACCTTAGGAGCTTCCACCGTACGTATGTGACTGCGTAAAATATAACTTTGATTGTAGTTTCATGCAAAGGAATGAAATGGGTGGTGTCAGATGCATTTTTAGAGACAAGAAAGATAAACATTTCGGTTCAGCCCTTCAGGATATGCACAGTGTCCAGGGTATTCATTCTTTTCTGAAAGGGGAAGCTACAAGTTTTTTATATGTGATGCAACAAGTTTGAATACGTGTTTTGAGGAAGGTGTGGTTTGAAAGGGATAATCAGGAACTCTGCTTATCATAAACAAAGTTCAAGATCATGTGGAAATAAGAAATTTACTTGGTGATATAAGACATTTGATGTATCTTCTCCGTGAAAGCTAACTGGATTCTGTCAATGAAGAACAGAATCAAGCAGCATATGCTCTTGCAAAGAAAACTCTACAACAAGATCAACAATATGATTTCTTTAATATTCTTCATGTTTGGTTGATTCATTTATTGTATTCATCATATACGCTTTGAATTAATAAAGTACAGTGGTTATAATAAAAAATAACTTGCAACGTCTACAATGATTGTGTTTCGCGATTGGATCTCTCCCGAAGTCGGTTTAGCTCTGTTGAAATTCAATAATATAAGAATGAGTTTGCCACAGTTTTGGTCATTAGATTATGTAAATGCGTTTAGTTTTTTTTTACAATATAATAAAATAAGGTTCCTGATCAAAGAGTAACATATCTTCTATATTAAAAGAGAAGTACCATTTATATCTACTACAAAAAGTCATATTGGACTATTTCATTAATATAACATATTTGATTATTTATATTAATCAACCAAATATATATTACTGAAGAAATATTTTAATAATATATAACTATAAAGTTATCTTTAATTTCATTTATAACAAAATCTGTTGAGAAAATATCTAACNAGAAGTACCATTTATATCTACTACAAAAAGTCATATTGGACTATTTCATTAATATAACATATTTGATTATTTATATTAATCAACCAAATATATATTACTGAAGAAATATTTTAATAATATATAACTATAAAGTTATCTTTAATTTCATTTATAACAAAATCTGTTGAGAAAATATCTAACAAGATCTTACCAAGAAAGTAAAATATTTTTATAAAATATATATTATTTAATTTCGTGATTAATATATATATATATATATATATATATATTAATGTTAATTAAAAATAAAAATTGGTATATTTTATAATTTAATGATTTTCTATATTATATTAAAATAAAATGCTATGTAAAATTAATATAAAAATATATTAAATTGGTAAAGAAAAATATTTTATTTTAAAATTTTCTTTTATTCACTGTTAAAACATATTAATTTTTTTAAATCATGTAATATTTTTATACAAAAAATGTTGACATATATTTTTGTAATTCACAACAAATACATTATCTAAAATAATATATTTGATATTTTTAAAAAATGACTACAATATATTATATAAAATAATTAAAATAATAAGATTCTATAGTTATACAATATACAAATAAAATGTAAATGATATATCTGAAAGATTTTGTTATATTTTTATAAAATGAAAAATTACCCGTACGGATGTGCGGGTTTAAAATCTAGTCTGTCATTAAATCCTAGTTCTAGTTATCTGTTTTTATGTCCAAGTGAATGGTTGTGATCCCCTTCCTTTGGGTTTATGAGGCTTTTTTTATAGATAATCATTGTCAAAAATCTAGGTTAGATCTTTTTATATCATGAAATATGGAAAGATCTCCTGTTATAAATAAAAGTTTATCATTTTATCCGAAAGTAAGAAAAAACGTGATCCAGAGATTCGAAGACATTTATCAGAAAAAAAAAATCCAGCGTCTTGCTTAGGGATGTTTTCATGGCCAAAATAACTCTATTTGGCCCGGACCAGAAAATAACCACCTAATAATCTTTCGAATTCACAAAATTGAATCAAACCCAGTTTTAATAGGATTTCCCGAACAAAGTCCAATAATTTTAGAGTTACTCGCAAGTATCGTAATCGTGTTTTTCTTTTTTTTAATATATTTTAAAGTTATTATTAAATTTAAGCATCATTCATGTTGAAAATTGTACTTAAATGGTACACAAATATACTCCAATTTCAAAGCTTTCTTCAAACTGGAAAGGGAAACTCATAATTTTGTCAGCAATTTTAGCAATTCATGGTTTAACTATTTTATACATATTTTTTTATAACAGAACATATTCAACTATTAAAAATTCTGCGTATGAGTCTATCTATTATTCATCTGTTTTTTTTTGTCTTACCGACTTTTTTGAACTTCAAGATTAGCAATCAGTGATGACTACAACAAGAAAAGGCGATGGAGAAGAATCTCAAAATGCAAGTTCAAACCAAATACAAGGCTTTAATCAGACATTTATCTAAGTGATGTTTAAACAAGGCTTAAAAACTTCTGAACAGAAAGTTTCAATAAAAGTTTATTTTTTCAAAGCTTTTTATAAAAAAAATTATTTTTATTTTACTTTAGTTTTACCTTTTATTTTGTCATATTAAAAATATATATATATATTTTAAAGAAAAAGTATTTCAAACCAAATACAAGTAATACGAATAGATCAAATATAGTAACTATATTACTCCCTCCATTTCATAAAAGTGTTACTTAGACACATTTAACCCATATTAAAAAAATTGATTGAAATGTATTTAGTTTTACATTTATTAATTAATAGTATTTGACATAAATAAGTTTATTTCTAGATCAATATATTTTAAGATTAATATTAAGCTGAAATTAAGTGAAAATTACATTAGAATTCTAAAATGACACTTTTTATGTAATAAGAAAAAAAAATGTGAAAGTAACACATTTTTTTTTAAAAAAAACATAAAAGTATTATGTGTTGGTATTTAAAATTTTTTATTTATTTCCAAACATGTATCTCTTTCTCGGAAAACTCATAACAATTGTTTTACCGTCTAACTTTAGGTCTCCATTTTATCTGGCTACAAAATGTGATTAATATAATATTTAGTTTTAATGTATAAAAAAACAGAACACTGAATTTGATTACAACAAAATAATATTTTAGTTTTGTTTTCCACTTATATAAAGACAATAATTGATAAGCATAAATTCTTGTCTTTAGTTTCGTTATTAAAGTTTAATATAATCTTAATTTTAATAACATTTTAATATTATTTATGAAAATCTATTATTTAAAATATTAAAATTTAACAAAAATCTATGATAAAATGTATATATATAATTAGATTTGAAAGATATAGAAATATATTATGAATTAATTAACTTTTTGGTCAATTAAGTAGAAACTGATTTATCATTGTTATTTTGTAGTTTAGTTGTCAAAAAAAGATTTATCATTGTTATCTTTAATAAAAAATTTAAAATAAAAATGGTATTTTTCGTAAATTACATGTCAACTAAATATTAGTTATATACTATGCTTATGTTCTACACTTGTAATTAGATATAAAATAACTAAATGGCCGTCCAAAACAAAACTCTGATTTGTTGTCAAAAAAAAAAACTCTGATTTCAAAAGTATAATTAAACATTAGTCCAAAAAAAAGTTAAACATTTGACGGCCATCTCCATGACTCCATCCAGTAGATTACTTCCTCTGTTTGCGTTTGCCTTAGTATATTTCTATAATTTATTTTATAATAAACTATATATTCGTGACTGCAGCACCATGATTACCAGAAACTCCCACCCTCGAGCAAACTATCTTTTGTTTGTTTAAGCAAAAAAAACTATCATTTGTTTGTTCCCAAAGTAAAATAGGCAAATTATCCTTGTCAATAAAAAAAGGACCAATTCAAGACGGAAACAATCCTAGAACAACTTTCCAATGATATTAATAGTATATACTATGAGAGATACCCATCTTTGTAACAGCGTATATATCAACCAAATTTTGAGACATGTTTTCGGGTTACTTGCGCCACCATAAGTAAATTGATTTAGATGGTGGCAATGTTGAAGCAAGAGGGTCGAGATATGAGCGTCGGTGGTGGTGGCTCAATGGCGGAGGAGGGCGAGTTGTTTGTGGCAGTAGCCGTGAAAGGTATTATCGGAGATAAATTGGGCGGCGCAGGAAGCCGCCGTGCCGTACGGTGGGCCGTCGATAATTTATTACCTAAGGCTGGTCGGTTTGTGATGATCCACATCATCCCCTCCATCACCACCATCCCTACCCCTAGTAAGTCTCTCAAATTGATAGAATTCATTTTCCACATGAATCAATTGAAATGCCAAAAAAAAAGGACAAAAGGAAATAAACCAAAATTATTTAGAATCATGTACAAGTGTATTCATTGTGAAATGTTATTAAAATGTACAAGTGTATTCAGTCGAACGATTTGAGTTTCGTTAAGTTTTATATAATTTCAGATGAATTTATAACACAACTATGATTTGTTAATAAAACCTTCAAAATACCGTTTAAACTTTTAAGTTATTTCTGTTGTAACATCCCTGATTGGATACCATACTAATTGAATATTAATAGAATTCTCCTGAATCAAATTTGATATTTGATTGATGTAATTAGGCCGTAAATCGACTAGTAATTTCACAACATTTTTCTCGACATTAATGTTTATGAGAAATGGCAGCCGGAAAGAGATTACCGGTGGAGGAAGTGGATGAGAGATTGGTGGAAATGTATGTGAGAGACGTGAAACAAGAATTTGAAACTGTCTTTGTTCCCTTCTTGAAAATGTGCGAGAGTAGTAGTAGTACCAAGGTGTGTTCATTTCGTTTAGCACAATTTTAAAACCTTTAGAAGTTTTAGGGCCAAACTGTAAATTCCCTGAGTTACGTAACCTTCAGTGCGAGGTAGAGACTCTGTTGATAGAGTTTGATGATCCAGCAAAGGCGCTACTACGATTCATATACAAATCAGGAATTGACAGTTTGGTTATGGGATCATTCAATTCCAATATTTTCACAAGGTAGCTCCTTTTGGTTTAGTTCTCCGTAAACAACACGGTTATTTACCCTAACTGTCCGGTTTATTTTGGTTTAGGAGAATAAAAGGTCCAGGAGTACCATTGACTGTCTTAAAATACGCTCCAGCAACATGTGAAGTACATATTGTGTATAAAGACAGAATCACTACAAAACCTATGGAGCCATTAATCAACGCAGGTAATTTTATGGATATATACTGTATTTTAGCTATTAGAAACTTCTAGTATAGTTACAAAGAAAACTGATGTTAAACCTTGTTTTAAAAAAAAAATATTAAACCTTGTTTAACGGTATTATTATCAGTGCCGCGCACAAGTCTAAAAGCAGCCATGACTGCCCGCGGTTTCCTGAAAGAAGGAGTGGCTAGCTTCCACACTGTACAGCCTAAACCGTTATCTGCTCGTCGAGAATCTATAGGTAATTTTAAATATCCATTGACATCCATATATGTAGTAGTTAAATGCATAGTCAAAATTAAAAGAAAATTACTTTTTCTCTTGTACATATAAAAATATTAGAGTTAAGTCCCAAGTCAATGAAGCTAAGCCCAGTACCTATGTAATTAAGGTTTTAAGAAATTGATTGATATTTTTATTTAGAAATTTATATGGATCATTAAAAAAAATATAGTTTTATATTCTTCAATTATTTGAAATTAACACATTTAATATTCAAATATTGTTGGCGCAAAATTATTCCTGAACTAATTGGTGACTCCGTAAAATTAGGTTTGAAATAGTCAACCGTTAAAAATTGGAAGAAAATCGTTAGTTTTCCGTTTACACTTTACTGTTTAACTATTTCAAATCCAATTTTGTGCAGTCAACAATTAATTCAGAAATAATTTTGCGCAAACAATACTTTGGATATTAAAAATGGTGATTTCAAATAGTTGGAGAATAAGATACCCATTTTCCGGCTTAATTAGTGTCTTTTTGTAAACGTTAGTAAGGTTGGGTTTTGTGCAGTGTGTCTTCTTCTGTGAAAAAATCAACCAAATCTTCTTTAGTCATGGTGTCAAATCTATGTTTTCGTTGCACTGCATTGAATCATTGTCCTAGTTTTATAAAATTGATGTTTTGTATTTATATTTCATTGTAAGAAATTTTGCGTACAGAAACCTAAATATAGTCTATGAAAACTAAAAAAGAGTTGGGGTAACATTTGTTTTCGAACATAAAAACACATTACCAATATTAGGTTATAAAGTAATTTTTTAGTTTTGTACAGACTTAAAATGAATTAATTAGAGTTTAAAGTTGAAAATTTAAACTAAACCTGAACTTCCAAGCCAAGTAAAAGAAAAAAATTACATACATATATATATATATATATATATATATATATATATATATATATAAATGAATTCAGTGTCAAAGTCAGACTTTGAAAGTTGCAACGAACAAATTCATCAATCGGTAAGAAATTCATATATGAAATATACGAAATGATAGTGTATACATATATAATCTTATGATTTGTATGTAAGCTGAGATTTTTATTTCTTTTGGTGTTGAAGAGGTACGGGCGAGGTCAGCATCAACTAGATTGGAGGCATTAAGCTTCACTTATAGTCAACCCAAAACGCCTCCACGTGGCAAGACTGAAAGTGCAATAGATCCAGAGTCTGTAACAACCGAATCCCAATCGAGTCTAGAGAACGTCGTCCGAGAACAAAGAGGATCTGATTTGCCACCCGTACCCAAGAAGGTATTTTATCATCTTTTCATTCAATAATAAAACTAGTAATTATAAGAAAGTTAAAGAGAGTCTGAAGATTTGGTGTTTGTTTGACAGGTTGAGATTGAAGCAGAGGTCGTGCAATTGAAAAAGGAGTTAGAAAATACGGTTGTTAAGTATAAACAGGCTTGTGAAGAGCTTTCCTCCACACAGAACAAGGTACCTTTGCATACAATTATTACGACTGCACTTAATTTGACCCCAGCTTGTCTTATTTTTTTTCCCTAAAAATTTAGGTTTTTTTTAACAAACTAAAATTTAGCTATCACATCAATATTATGATCTTCGAGTATATTTTCCTATATTTCTCATTTTATGTACGGATGATTTTCCAAAAATCGTTTACACACGTGTGAATAATTAGGTTTCGACCTATGATTGGGATTTTTGTTCTTAAATTGTGAATTATTTTGTTTGCTTGTCCGTCAAGTAAACTATTTCTATTGGGGTTTCTACTAGGTTCAAGTGCTGCTATCCGAATGCTCGAAAGACGCTAGAAAAGTGAACAATGCTATGAAGGCGGTCAAAGAGGTAGAAGAGGCGAACTCGTTGCGTGAGAGAGAGTTTTCTCAGCGAAAAATGGCGAAGACAAATGCTTTAAGGACTTACTTGGAGAAGGAGAAAGTGATAGCTGGTCAGCTTTTAGAAACGGATCAACAGTATAAGAAATACACAATCGGAGAGATCGTTACAGCCACCGATGGATTCTCGCCGGAAAAAGCGATTGGAGAAGGAGGATATGGAAAAATTTACCGTTGCAGTTTTGATAGTACACCGGCGGTTGTTAAGGTTGTCCAACTAGATACGTCTGAGAAGAAACAAGAATTCTTAAAAGAGGTAATTAACTAAACCATAAACTATGATCAGTGTTGTTTAATGTTGTTTCTTAGTTAACTATTTGGTCCAATCCGGATTGATTTATTTACGGTTTGATATTATTACATTATAGGTTGAGGTTCTAAGCCAACTCCAACACCCACATGTAGTTCTTCTACTCGGAGCTTGTCCGGAGAATGGTTGTCTAGTTTACGAGTATATGGAAAATGGAAGTCTTGAAGAATATATATTCCACCAGAATAATAAACCGTCTTTGCCTTGGTTTATCCGGTTTAAGGTAATTTTTGAAGTAGCTTGCGGTTTAGCCTTCTTACACAGCTCTAAACCGGAACCAATTGTTCACCGCGACCTAAAACCAGGAAACATCCTGTTAAACCAGAACTACGTGAGCAAAATCGGAAATGTTAGTCTAGCAAAGCTGGTTACGGATGTTGCACCAGATAATGTCACGACGTATAAGGAACCAGTTCTTGCCGGTACATTGCACTACATTGACCCGGAGTACCATCATACCGGAACATTTAGACCCAAATCAGATCTTTACGCTTTTGGGATAACCATTCTTCAGCTGTTGACGGCTCGTCAGCCAAGTGGGCTTGTTTATGCGGTTGAAAACGCAGTAAATAAAGGAACATTAACCGAAATTCTAGACAAATCGGTTAGAGATTGGCCTTTGATAGAAACCGAGGAATTAGCACAAATTGGTTTAAGATGTGCGGAATTTCGATGCCGTGATAGACCGGATCTTAAAGAAGAGGTTATACCGGCTTTAAAACGGCTTGTAGAGACCGCGGATTCAATAATAAAGAACGAACAAAGCAATTTGCGTGCACCAAGTCATTATTTTTGTCCCATTTTACGAGTGAGTAAAAAGATTATCTTGTTCAGTGCATGCATTTAGTTACCAAAAGTTCTAACCGGGCTTGATATACTTTTCTTTTGCAAAACAGGAGGTAATGGAAGAACCAGAGATTGCAGCTGATGGATTCACATATGAGAAGAAAGCGATCTTAGCATGGCTTGAGAAACATAACTTTTCACCGGTGACTAGAAAAAAGCTCGACCATTACAAGCTCACACCAAACAATACACTCCGGTCTGCGATCCACGACTGGAAATCAAGAGTCCGGTTTTCTAATGCCGTTGTTAATATGACATGTTGATTTTTTCATTGAATATCTTTCTACAGAAAAAGTTCAGATAAAAATATGGTTTGTAAGGTCTTATTATCTATTTATCTGGTTACTGTATGAAATTAAGCCTGCATGCATGTGTTTATATAAGTTTTCTAAGATCATTGATAAAGCTTCTGCTTAACACAAACCCGTTGTTTAGATTGTCTGAATCGCTGAAATAATCCATACATTTTTACTCTAGCCAACTCAGTATAATAATTTAGTATAAAAACAGATTATTTATTTTTGTAACCTAAATCACTGACCAGTTTTAACTTCTTTTTTTTGCAAAAAACAAGAGATAATGGAGGAACCGAGAATGCATGAGCTGATGGATTCACGTACGAAAAGAAAGCGATTTTAGCGCGGCTTGAGAAACACAACATTCCACCGGTGACTAGACAAAAGTTCGGCCACTTGAAGCTTGCACCGAACAATACACTTCGGTATACGATCCAGGATTGGAAATCAAGAGTCCACTTTTCTAAGGCCTTTGTTATTATAACATGTTGAGTTCTCATTGAATATTTGTCTACAAAAAGAAAAGAAGTTCAGAGGTGTAAATGTATGGTTTGTAAGGTTTTGCGTGGTGGACGAAAGTGTTATGTTTTGTAAACCC